TTCCAATTTCCTATGGAGAAAACAAACTTTTCCAAGGAGAAAAATTTTCATAATGATTTTTTATTCCCTAAACTGGTGGGTTTTTTTGTTGTTGTTGTTGTTTCTGTGTGCCAGAGAAACCAAACCAAACATGATCCAGGCCCTAGGTCTTGATTATGTGGTGAATTGGTATGTGTGAGGTGTATCCAAAGCTCTCTAAAAGTTTGCACAATCGATCACATCAGGATGGAAGTTTCAGAGTTAACAATACAGACACAAATAAAAATTTCAATCTAAGAGGGCTTTTATGCAACATGTGGAGCTTAGAATCCAGGCGTGACTCTATGATAGTGCAGAGATGAAGATCCCAATCACCTCAACTGGGTTAAGTGCTTGACAAAATCTAGGGAGGGGTTTTACAAATTCTTCAGTTTTCCTACGGATCCCATTTCTATCATCAGGTATGTCAACCAAAGCAGTGGTAGAAGTTTATTAGTCCGCCCTGTGATTTGAGAATTGGACAGCACACAGCTAAGACCTGTTATTCCATTTGAGTTGAGATAAATATAAATATGGGGTATTTATAATTCAGAGAACAAAGAGAATCAAGGAATTCCAAGGATTTTGATGAGTCTTTCTAATACTCATCCAAATGTTTCCTGAAATCTTTTCTTCTTCAGAGTTTTCCTTGACTAAGAAGAGAAATTATGCAGGGCTGATGCTAGCCCACACCAGTTTATCTGGCATGTGGAGCTATTGGAAGAGGTTTTCAATACCATCTCTACAGTTTAGGTTATTTAGTATCATAATCATTTGCTCGGTGACATTGGGAGGCAGTGAAACTCTCATAGTATTAATTCTATCTTGGCTTTACCTTCCCAGACAGAGACTAGACTACATGGTGTCTAGCTAACTAACATTACTGGCTATTTTGATCAAGGTTACAAGAGATAAACCCTAGTTTAATTGGAATGAGAAATGCAGACCAGAGCTCAAATCCTTTAAAAGCCCAGACTTACTTCATTAATTGAGACTACAGACCTCCCTGAAACTATCACCTTGAGATGCTCTTCAAACTTTGAATCAAAACTATTCCTGAAACCAACTTTTGTTGAAATAACACATACAAATAAAGGGTATTATCTATGAGTGTGATGCCTCACTAAAAATCCATTTGTATGAGACCAGGTAGTCAACATTTAGGGAGCTCTGGAGGCCTAGCTGTAATACCAAAGGCACAAGATTTGCATCCATCAGGTGCTCCAGGGAAGAAGGATGCAATCAATCCTCTTGTGCAATTAACTGCCTCCAAAAACCTGCTGGATGGTCAGTTCTGGCTTGACGGCACCACCTAACAACAACAATGGTCAATAATTACGCTAAAGTTACTATGAGAAGATAAAAGGGCAGGGAAACTAGAGTACTAGAAATGGAACAACCAGAATGTAATTGAAGGAAATGCCAACATATTGTGGAAAATGTAACTAATGTTACTGAATAATATATGTGGAAATTTTCAAATGGAAACTTAATCTGCTGAGTAAACTTTTATCAAAAATATATTACTTAATAACAGTAAGTAAAATAAAGAAACTGATACTTGTTGCTGATCAGTTAGGAATTATATCATCAGATGATTGTTAATTTGACACATTTACATGCTAAAACAAGTAAAGTATCTGACCTTCAGTTGACTTTTGACCTATTGTCACTGTCACTAACTTAATAGGGCAAGTCTACTGTCAGGCAATGATGTCACTTTAAGAACCAAAGGGTGCCTGATTTAGGCCATCCATGGTCTTTTCAACCTCTGTGCTTCTGAGAGCTAGACAATGAATGAGGATGATAGAAGAATTGATGCCTTTGTGATGTAGTGTTGGAGAAGAATGCTGAACATCCCATGGACTGCCAAAAGAACAAACAGATGTCTGGGAAAAGGTGCAGCCAGAGTATTCTTTGGAAGCAAAGATGGTGAAGTTTCATCCCTCATACTTTGGACATGTTTCTAGGGGAGGTTATTTTTTTAGAAAGAAACATCATGCTTGGAAAGGAGGAGGGTCAGCAAAAGAGAGGAAGACCTAAGAAGTAATAACAATTCTGTAACTTTCAAAAAGCACAGGTAACTTAGGCCACAATGCTAGATAAGTGTTCCAATGATTATATTAGGAGGAATTTGTAATTCTGAAATTTTTGGTGGTGGTTGTTGCTACGTGCCGTTGAGTTGCCTGCACATTTTTGGCTATTTTATTATAATTCCTCATGTTATTCTTGCAGTTGTTCAGATGTATCCTGCCAAGTTCTAAACAGTAGTGCCAGTATTTACTAACATATTGCACAACAGTTGAACATGCAAAACTTCCACAAGTGAAAAACAATTAGCTGAAAACTGGGACACAAATCAGTTCCTACTTTCCATTTTCTTTACTTAGTGTTTCAGAATTACTCTGGATGATTTTTTTAAAAACAAACAAACAAACAAAAACTGGCATAAGCAAAATGTTTGTACCTTTAATTAGTTAACACTGAGTCTAACTTAATGCATGTCAAAATAATTAAAACATAGAGGAATTAAAGGATATAATTAAAGTATATGTAAAGTTAATATAGAGCATTCAAGGAGACATTTCCTTTAGGGGGGAAAAATAAGGACTCTGTAGATTAGTTAAAAGTTTTTAATGGGAAAAGGGAAGCTACATTGTAGATGATGAGCCATTCTGCTAACTTTAGTGTAATTTAATTTCATTTGTCTTCCATCCTGGCCAACCCCTGCTCATTATCTTAATTACACAGGAAATTCCACAAGTTTTAAAGCTTCTCTTTTTCAGAAACTGGGTGCCCTGGTGACACGGTCTCTAGCAAGATGCACTATTAACTCAAAACCCAAGTGCTTCTTTGGCTGGTCCAATCTATCAGCTGTCCTGGGGGAAAGATAAAGTTCCTCCTGTGTGATTTACAGCCTCAGAAACCCAGTGGAGGGTCCTCAGGGGTCAGGACCAACTGATGGCAGTGAGTTCCTTAGAATAAAAGGCAAGCCTTCTTTGGGTAAAATGAAAGTATTTGCACAAGGTAAACTCCAAGTGAGTTCAAGTTAACACATGTCTTAAAGAGAAGTAGGCAGAGTTTTAGGATCACTGTGTCTCTGCTTTCATCTCTGCTCATCTGTACTTTAATACAGTCCACACTAACCAGTGACCTCTGTGAAATTACCTATATTCTCTGAGGAATCAGCCAATCATAATTTCAGTTTCCTTTTAATAAAAAAAAAAAAACACCCAAACCCAAACCTACAAAAACACCCACATACATAAGTGGTGTCTTTGAATACTCTTTACTTAAACTTCATTTAGTGAAAGGACTGAGGATGGGGAAAGCAAGGGAGAGGAGACAAATTATTATTAGTAAGCCTCCAACAGTTGGCAGGTACTTCTAAGCTAAAATCTTGTCTGTCCCTGGATATGGAAACCAAGAGTTCAAGCAGATGTTTGAGGTTGTTAGGTACCACTGAGTTGACTATGACTCCTAGACACTCTATGGACGACAGATCTGAACCTTGTTCTAACCTGTGCCATTGCCAAGATCTCCATCATGCCCAAACCTATTTTGGTCACTGTGGCAGTCCATTTGTTGACGTTCTTCCTCTCTTTCACTGACCCTTTACCTTCTTCAACATGTTTTTTTCTTAAGGGCAGACTCTTCCTAACAGCAGACCCAAAGTATGTTACAAAATGACAATAAAGTTTACCCTTAACAGATTGTTATTGTTGTGATGTGCCACTGAGTTGCCTGCGACTCACAGTGACCCAATGTACAACAAGAACAATAACATAAACCCTGCTCTATCTTGAGCCAATTTAATTGTCTCTGACACTCCTACCCCCATCACCCCAGTCACTGAATCAATCCATCTCATCCAGGGTCTTCCTCTCCTGCACTGTCCCTCCACCCTTTCAAGCATGATGCCCTTCTCCAAGGACTGGCCCTTCCTGGCAACATGCCCAAAGCTGTACACAGGGTATCTGAATGCCTGCTATTTAAAAAAACGGATGGCCAATTCTTCTCCTTCATCTGTCTTAATTTGGTGCTCGGCTTTAGAGCAGATAGAACAACCACTTTTGAATGTCAAGGTTTTCAACCAAGGTGAGCCTACTGGCAGATAATCAGGATGACTTGTGAGCCTCAGAAGTTGAAGGCAATTTCTTCATGGAAAAATGAAGACATGTTGCTTAAGCACAGTATCAGTTATATCAGGGAACACAGGGGCCCCTGGGTGTACAAAAGGTTAATGAGTTCAACTGCCTCTAACCAAAAGTTTAGAGGGTGAAATCTACTTAGAGACAGTTTGAGAGAAAGATCTGGTGATCTAATTCCAAATAATCAGACATGGAAAACTCTTCTATAGTTTTACTTTGATACATGTGGTTGCCAGGGAGTTGATTCAATGGACAGTAGTCATTTGTGGTTATGGCAGAGTACAGAGAGTGAAACAGTGTCTGAAGTTTATGTCTAATTTCAGATACATACAACCATTATATTATCATGCTTTCCCATATCACAGGAAACAGGTACTTAGCTACAATACTAAAAATAAACAACAAAAAATTAGTTTCTAAAAGAAAATCACATCCATCAGAAGCAGAGTTACCTGAAACCAACTAGTTCTTACATAGATGATTACTAATATGCTCACCTCTCGTGTTTAATAACCAATAAAATACATTTACAAAGTACCTATCCTGTCAAGAATCCTGCACAAAATGCACAAAATGACCGGAAGAATCCTGAACTCAGTTTAGAGACTATTACAAAGAAAAGGTGGTGGGTCTTGAGAGGTAGGAAGGTGAATCAATTAGAACAAAAAACTAGGGCTTTTTCTATAGGGGAAGAAAAAAGATCATGTTATGAAAAGAAGAACAAAAGGAGATTACTGGGCAATGTGATCTGAGTTTGAAAATTTCTTCAGGTTCTTGAAGGTATCTAGAATCAGCTTCTTAGGGAAAACGTGGGTGGTGACAATCAGACAGCTAAAAATAGCCCATAATTATAGCAAAGAAAGCAACAGCCAACATAATCTTGACCATTGTCATTGCTGAGGTCATGGAGTCATTCTTTTCCACAACTCTTGTCATCAGAGGTTTCCTGATCCGATCATCCGTAGCAAGGATAGCTTTTCGTGCACCGTTCCATTTTCCACGGCCCTGGAGACGATACTGAATTGGAGTACAGGGTCCCAATAATAAATACAAGGCCAACCTGGGGTCAGTGAAGGCCAAGGATAGTAGATTGGGCTTGACTCCCACCAGCTCAGCAAGTTCTTCCATGGTATCCATGTAGTCTCCCTGAATAGTATGGCGTTGACTAGTTACGTATCTAAAGCAAAGCAGACAAGAAATGACTTGTTCACCATTAATCAATCAATAAATCACTGCTTATAGACTGCCTGATAGTGGTTCAATACTGGGCTAAAAGGTACAAAAATATAGGAAATGACAATATATTGCCTCTATCTTTAATGACTTTATAATTTAGTAGAGGAGATACACAACCAATACTCATGAAGCAGAGAGGAATAGCAACATTCTTTGCATTTTCAGGCTTCAAATAGAAATATAGAGAGGGTGTAATAAAAAACTATAAAGTTGATACGGTAAAGAATGTAAAAGGCATAGATATTCTGAGAATAAAAAGGAAAAACAGTGTGAAGGCATAAAACAAGAGTAAGTGTTCAGTTGTGGCAGTTCGTTGCTACGGAGTCAGTGCCAACTCATGGTCACTCGTGGTGACCTTGTGTGTAATAGAAGAAAACAGTGCCAGTTCTTGGCTAGCTCCATGGTCATTGGCATGTTTGAGCCAGTGTTGTAGCTACTATATGAATTCATCACATCGAGGGCCTCCTTCCTTCTTACCAACACTCTACTTTTCCAACCATGGTCCTTTTCTAGTGCTTGATATTTCCTGATGATATGTCTAAAGTAAATGAGCCAAACTCTCACCATCCACAATTGTAAAGAACATTCTGGTTGCATTTCTTCTATGGCCAGTAAGTACAGAACATGAACAAAGAGTATTTGTGAGTACTACCTACAGTAAAGGAGTTCAGGGATGACTATGGAGAGGCAGACCTGGATACAGAGGGCTCTGGTAATGCCAGAAAGAGACAACCAACCACAAAAATCTTCTTTAAATCAATCACAGTAAGGGAGAGATATTTTTTTTTCTTTTTACTTTTTTAAGTGAGGTTCACAGAGTGGATTTCCTAGGGCTGAAATTAATTTGGAACCCTGACAGGGGAAGGAAAGATGTTTTATCCCCAAAAAGGAAGTAGTCTTCCAAATGGGGTCAGATGGAATAATTTCACCAAGTGCCATCAATAGTTACGTGGTTCTTTAAAAGGGGGTGGGGGGATGTTATAATAGTGATAACTGTGATTGACTATACAGAGGGAATAAGATATGGAGTGTGAGGTGTTGACTTTCATAATTTAACAGCTACAATAAAAAAGATGAATTGTCAGAAAGACAAAAGAGAAAAACCATGTCAAGCTAGTTGAGATTGAATGGACTCACTAAAACAAAATTCCAACTTATCCTGACCCTATACAAGAGAACATAATTGTCCCATAGGAGTCTGGCATCTCTATATCGTCTTAGGAGCAGACTGCCTCTTCCTTCTCTCGAGGAGCATCTGTTAGATTTGAGCTACTGACCTTGAGGGTAGCATACCAATGCTTAGCCTGCTCTGCCACCAGGATTCCTACAGGCTCATGAAAGGACTCCAGAAAGAGGAAAAAAGATGTTAGAAAGTAAATTTGCGAGTAAATTTAGTTAAGGTGGAATCCTGGAAAGGTTGTAGGAATGTACTGAGTTGGAACTAAAGTTTAGAAGTGAAGATAAGACAGGAGAATACGTAAGAGCTTTTCCTTAAGGGTATCATATTAGTCAAGGGCTTATAGGCTTATAAAAGCATTTCTTTTTGCTGTAATAAAGGAAAAAATAACTGAATATCCATGAAAATATGAAGAGAAGTTCACTAGGCCTGCCATGTAGAGTTGTTACAAGGGTTAAATAAGCGCATGCATACAAAACATATTTACAATGGGTGTATATAATGAACTTTCAATAAAGGTTAAATTCTGTCTTTGAGCTCTGTTTATAATCAGAGGTGCTTGGACAAAAATAAATGAGAGAAAGGAGGAAAGCTGAAATAGGATAATTTATTGCAAAGAAAGCAAGTGCTTTTATGAAGGAAGAGTACCAAATTCAATAGTATGAAGAAAGAAATCTTCAAAAGCATAAAGTCAACAGTAAACATGGAAATGATAATATCATTAAGAAGGAGCAAAAGATGAAAATTTAGAGCATTTAACTTTGACAGTGAAAGGATAGAGGAAAAGAGACAGCCTGGAAAAAGTAACAAGGTTGAATAGAAACTTTCTCTTTGCCCCTTGAAAACAGAGGAGAGATTATAACTCAACAAACTCAACTCTCACGGCCAGCCATTTTCAGAGGCTGTAAATTACACAGGAGAAGACTGCTTGTCTTTCTCGTTTAGAGCAGCTGGTAGAACCAAACCACATCCTTAATCATTAGGCCACCAGATCACTCTATGGTGTATATATAATCAGTTGAAGAAAACTGCCTCTTTGATCCTGCAGTGACTGTGCCTCTGACTTTTCCACAAAATTTTAGGAATTTATGATTACTTCTACTTTGACTAAATGAAAATCATCCCGTGATTGAGTTCAAGTTCTGAAATTCAGATCACCGGATTAGTGTGTTCACTCACTGGCTGATGTCCCCTTCCCTCTTGTGGACTTTTCATCTCATGAACCTCTGTGACTGAGTTGGCTGTCACATGAGAACCAGCACAGCACCACTGCAGAAGAGATTTGTAACTCTATCTACATACAGATTTGTAATTTGACCATATCTACCTCTCATTAATTTTGCTTCAGCCTTTCCCCATGTACTTCCTTTCTGGCAGCTCTCCTAGCACCTCAGGTAATCCTAGCCATATTATATACCTGATTTCCTCTCCACATATTTTTTCTGTTACTCAGATTTTTTTTTTAAAAAAAAACATTGTACACAGAAAATTTTAAACACAGTTCTCTTTTGTTTCAAAGTACTGCTGCAGCTTCTGTTTTACCATAACATAAAAAATGATTTCATTTTCTTTCTAAATATCATTCGAATCCTTAGGTAACATGAAGAAGTTAAACACTGTACAGGGGCCTCAATGAGATGGATTAGCCCAGGGGTTGCAACATGGGCTGAAACACCAACCATTGTTTGTGAGGATGATGCAGGAGGGGGTGGCGGTTGATTCTGTTGTACACAGGGTAATTATGCACAACATATCTCTCTGCGTGAATTTCTTACCTTTTTTCCATTTCTTCTTGAACTTTGGATATTTCTGTGATCATTTCATTTTTCGAGGGCAATGTCTTTAGCCCTAAAGAGAAAAATTAAAATTTTAAGTGTAAAATGACTTCATTGGGAATGATAATTCTGTTAACAACTATGCTGTGGAAAAATTAACAAAACATTTGTTAGTTTTGAATATTATAAGGAGCTCATAAATCACTCTGTTCTATTCTACTATTGCTTTCCAACCAATACCTACCTCCTCAACAAAATCTCGAAATTGGGAAATAAAATATGGGCATTCAGAAATTATAAATGGCCAGAAAAAAAATATATGGAAGTTGAAGAACAAGTAAAAGACAGGGGATGGGGGTTGGTGCACATATCTGCACCTGCACTCTTAACAAGAGGCTTCTCTATACCACAGAGGAGGAGAAGATAGGCTTCATATTCTTAATATTTTTTTTTCACAAGGGTGGAGGTTGAGAACAAAAAAAACCTCATAAAGCCTAATCCTGCCAGATAAAGTTAATCACTGATACACACTTCCAACATTAAAGACAGACAAAGGTAGAACAGTATTTAAGCCAACAGAAACATTACTAAGATTAAACAATTGGTCTTATGCCCATATTTCAAGGTGTTTCGACATGTAGAAACACATCCCAATCTCAAACTGTTACTCCACAAAGTTATGTAATGTAAAATTTTAGAAAAGGAATATACCTTATCTACTATGAAGTTGCCTACCACTTGATGGCACTTAACAATAATAACACCAACACAGAGAGAGATCAGTTGGCCTAGTGGAGAGAAAGTGATGCTACCAAGCCAAAGGTGGGTGGCTTCTAATCTGCGACCCTCAGGCCTAATTTTCATTGTTTTTGTTCACACATTCTTCTAGGTCGTATAGCCCTGGTGTCCACTTGCCGTACAGAGGTAACTTGTGGTTGCTGTGAAGCTGAACATTGTGACACTGATGTGTCAAATGTGTTAATGGTTACCCATGGTGGCCAGTGTTTGGTGGAGTTCCCCAGTTAAACAAGCTTGGAAGCAGGAGTGGCATCCACTTCTGGAAACCTTATGAACCTGGAGAAAGGATGAAAGTCACACAAGTGTTGAGGACTTTAGTTCACAGGGTCACTATGAGTTGCCTATGTGACGGCACTTAACAACAACAATGATATGAAGATATATTAGAAATATACCTTATCTAATATGAAGGTATATTCCCATTCTAAAATTTTGTTTCCATTCCAAAGAAAGAACACCCAACAGAGTGCAGCAATTATTGAACAATATCATTAATATCACATGCAAGCAAGATTCTGTGAAGATTATCCAAAAACAACTGGAAGAGCATATCAACAGAGAACTGCCAGAAGTGTTGGCTGGGTTTAGAAGAGACCATGGCACTAGGGGTATTAAAGCTAATGTTAGATGGATCTTGGCTGAAACCAGAGAGTGCCAGAGGAATATCTATCTGTGTTTCATTGCTTATGCAAAGGCATTTGGCTGTATGGATCACAACAAACTGTGGCTGACTCTGAGAAGAATGGGAATCCCAGAACACTTGATCATATTTGTGTGAGACCTATACTTGGACCTGGAGGCAGTTGTTAGAACAAGCAAGAAAACACTGCATGGTTCAAAATTGAGAAAGGTATATGCCAGGGATGTGTTCTATCTCCATACTTTTTCCAATCTATATGCAGAACAAATTGTCTAGGAGGCTGGGCTGTATGAGAAGAAATGTGGCATCAGGACTGGAGGAAGACTCATTAACATCTATGTTATGAAGATGACAGAACCCTACTTGCTGAAACTGAGAAAGACCTGAAGTGCTTGCTGCAGAAGGTCAAGGACTACAGCCCTCAATATGGATTGATGTTCAACATCAGGAAAACAATGATTCTCACCGCTGGGCCAATTGGCAGCATCATGAAAGATGTTGAAGAGACTGAGATTGTTAACAGCTTTAGTTTGCTTGGGTCCACAGTCAACACTCTTGGGACCAGCAGACAGGAAATTAAAAGACGAACTGCACTGGGAAAGTCTGCTGTCAGAGACATCTCCAAAGTACTGAAGAGCAACGATGTTGGTCTGGGCATGAAGATGTGCCTGATCCAGGCCATAGACTTCATAATTACTTGCTATGCATTAGAAAGCTGGACAGTGACTAGAGAGGATAGAAGTATTGATGCCTTTGAGCTGTAGTGCTGGAGAAGATTATTGAGTATACCATGGACGGCTAGGAAAACAAACAAGTTTATCCTAGAGAGGGTGAGACCAGGCTGCTCCTTGGAGGCAAGGATTCTGAAGTTCCATATGACATATTTTGGATATGTTGCAAGGAGGGACCAGTCCTTGGGGAGGACGTCATGCTTGGAAGGGTGGAGGGACAGTGCAAGAGAGGAAGACCCTCTAGGAGATGGATTAATTCAGTGACTGGGTTAATGGGGTTAGGTGTGTTGGAGACAGTGAGATTGGCAGGGATAGAGCAGGGCTTAGGGCTGTTGTACATAGAGTCGCTATGAGTTGCAGGTGACTCAATGGCACATAACAACAACAATAGATGCTAAATGTGCTTAAGGAACTCTGGTGGCCTAATGGTAAGAATCTGTGCTGCAATCCTGAAGGCACTCAGTTCAAATCTGCCAGCCGCTCCCTGGGAGGTGAAGGGAAGTCTCCTCCCATGCAAGGAACTGCCTCTGAAAATCCACTGGAGGGTCAACTACAGGTTGTTTCTAACTCAGTGATACACAACAATAACAATATGTGCTTCAAGAGCCCTGGTAGTTCAAGTGGTTAAGTGCTAGACTCTGAACTAAAAGGTTTGTGGTTCAAACCTGCCAACTGTTTTATAGGAGAAAGATGCGACTGGGTGATTCCATGAAGATTTACACCCTTGGGAACTCCACACAATTCCTCTCTGTCCTGTAGGGTTTGCTATCAGTCAGAATTCCCTTGACAGCAGCAGGCTTAGTTTTCATAGTGCAAGCCTTTTTGTACAAATATCTAGTCAAGGTAACTCACTGTTACCTAAACTTCTTAGGTGATGGGAGTCTCATTACCCTCTTTGGGATGTTGCTAGAACAGGGAACTGTGGAGATTAAAAACAACATGGAATCATTTTGCCTAGCTGGAAAAGCATGACTGCTACCTGGCTTTACAGGTAAAAAGTTCAAGATATTAAGTAACTTAACCTTCAGGAATGATAATTAGCTTGTTTTTGTGTTGACTTGCTCTTTAACCCCTGCATTTAGGGCAAGCAGATGCCTGCTTATCTGGTTGTCCCACTCCCATGATACCTGCATCTTTGTCGTTTTAATCAAACACAGTTCTGAAAAATAAAGAATTAAAAGACACACATCCTAAAGACTCATCAAACAGATTTTGGCTTTTTTTTTTCTTTCTTTTTCCCTTAGACTAGAAATACCTCATACAAAATCACTTAGGTGCAATGCCCAGTATTATACTAGGTTGTCCAATTCTTAATTTATATGATATACTAAGAAATATCTAGTGTAGTTTGCTCAAACTCTTAAACTTTTCAACGAGTAACACTAAGAATGGAACTCCCAGAACACTTAATTGTATTCAACTGAAACCTATGTGACCAAAAAGCAGTTGTCCAAGCATAACAAGGGAACACTCCATGTTTTAATGTCAGGAAAAGTATGTGTCAGGATTGTTCTATCTATTCAGTCTGTATGCTGACCAAATAATTTCAGAAGCAGGATTGTATGAAGATGAATGTGGCATCAGGATTGAAGGAAGACTCATCGACAAACTGTTTTATACAACTGTGCTGGCAGAAAGTGAAGAAGATGTAAATAAAGCTCTTACTCCAAAAGATCAAAGACAACAGCCTTTAATACAGGTTTGTTTTTCCTAAGAAAACAAAACTTACCCAGGCCCAAGAGACAACATCATGATAGATGGAGAAAAGACTGAAGTTGTGAAATGTTTCATTTTATTACATCCACAGTCAACAGCCATGGTAGTAGCAGTCAAGCAACCAGAAGATGTGCTGCCCTGGGGAAATATGCTGTCAAGTAACTCTTTAAAGTGCTAAAGAGTAAGGGTGTCAGTTTAAACACTAAGGAGAGCCTAATCTATTACCAGTTGCTTCCTATGCATCTGACAGTTGGACTATGATTAAAGGAGACCAAAGATAGAAAAAATGCCTCTGAATTGTTGTGCTGACAAAGAGCACCGGATAGAACACAGACATCCAAAAGAGCAAACAAGTCTGCCTCAGAGGAAGTAGAAACAAAATGCCCCTTAGAGTCAAAGATGATGAAACTTTGTCTTATGTACTTCAGTTTGCTGGCTCCACAATCAACACTCATGGCACCATCGGCCAGGAAATAAAAAGATTAATTGCTCTGGGAAAGTCTGCTGTCAGAGACCTCGCCAGAGTACTGAAAGCAACGATATCAGTCTGGAGACTAAGGCATGCCTGATCCAGGCCATAATCTTCACAATTACTTGTTATGAGTCAGAAAACTGGAAAATGAGTAGGGATAATAGAAGGAGAATTGATGCCTTTGAGCTATGGTGCTGGACTGCTAGGAAAAAAACAGGTTTGTCGTAGAGAGAGTGAAACCAGGATCCTCCTTGGAGGCAAGGATTCTGAAGCTCCATCTGACATACTTTGGGCATGTTGCAAGGAGGACCAATCCTTGGAGAGGAACATCATGCTTGGGAGGATGGAGGAACAGTGTAAGGGAGGAAGACCTTGGATGAGATGGATTGACTCAGTGAATGGGGTAATGGCAGTAGGTGTGTCAGAGACAATGAGGTTGGCTCAGGATAGAGCAGGGTTTAGAGCTGTTGTACACAGGGTTGCTATGAGTCGCAAGCGATTCGGCTGCACATAACAACAACAACTTTGGGCATGTTGTCAGAGGGGGGAAGACATCATGCTGGGAAGGAAAGAGGGTCAATAAAAGGGAAGAAGATTCTCAACGTGGTGGATTGACATGATGATTGTAACAAGGGGACAGTGCATTATGCCTGATAGGGCAAACTTCTCCTCTGTTGTTCATAGGGTTCAACTCGATGGCACCTAAAAACAACTGTGTTGTTGTTGTTTGAACTTGGTTTCATCTATCAGAGATGATCCAACAAGTATCATTATTATTAAAGTTTTTAATAATTCTGGAGCCACAAGGTCTAATCTTAACAAATGACTGCCCTTGAAACATTTAAAAACATCATAACTTCTTGGCAAGAAGCTGTGCTGCAATCCTGAAAGCACACAGTTCAAATCCACCAGCTGCTCTGTAGGAGAAGGATGAACAATCTCCTGTGTGGTTAACTGCCTCTGAAAACCTGCTGACGAGCCAGCTATGGGCAGGTTCCAACACAATAGTACATAATATCAACAGAACAACAGTAAGAGGCTAACCAATACTCTCTGGCTTCCTTTTTCTTCATTTTTATACTTGACCTTCTAGCATTCTGAACCACTTGCAGTTCGAGAACTTGTTATGATTTTTCTCTGACTTTGCCTAAGTACTACTGATTCTTTCCTCATTACAGGCAACGTTTTCCTTGTCATTTACCAAATTTTACATTCTTTTAACATGTACTTGAACTGCTGAACTTTTTCTAGCTTCTCTAGGGAGAATTAGGTACTCATTCCCTACTGCTACCATAACAACTCCTTTGTTGTTGTTGTTTGTGTACTGTTGAGTCAGAACAAACCGATAGTGGACCCTCCAGTGGGTTTCTGGAGGTATGGGAGGAGAATGCCCATCCTTCTCCTGTGCTTTGGGATTGCAGTGCAGCTTCTTGATGCTATAGCTTATATTTAGGATAAAGTAAATAGTTATTGACTGAACGAGTACCTTGTCTGTCCTCCTTGTTTGACTCTGAGTTCCGTAAATACAAGGATTTGGATTTTGGTCATACTCAGTTCTTTAGAACCTAGCACAGACCCTGGCACATGCTAAGAGTTAACAGACATGTCAGCTAAAGGACAGTGAAGAACTCCTTGCCTCCAAGGAGCAGTCTGGTTTCACCCTCTCTAGGATAAACCTGTTTGTTTTCCTAGTGGCCCATGGTATGTTCCGTACTCTTCTCCAGCACCATAGTTAAAAGTTCAGAGATTTTTTCAAAAGTTCTAAGACAATGTGGGGAAAAAAGGAAGCCTGAATGATAATTAGATGGTAGCAGGGCTTTCACAGCCTTCTCTCATGTCTAAGACAGGTTGGATTTGCATAATCCTAACTCGCCTCTACTTGTTTTTGTGCAAAGATAATGGTACGTGAGAAGAGTCATTGTTATCATTTCACTCTCCCAGTTCAGCCATGCCTTTCAGTATGACTTGAGATTGGTTAGCCTATTTTATAAATACAAACCCTAAGAAAATAAGATTTGTTGCAGACTTTACCTCAGAACTAAATTGACACTTGCACATACATTTATTAGGAGCAACCAATGCTTTGTTCTGTCCCAATTTTTCCAGGTATTGGAGACAATTATACAGCAGTGAACAACACTGTGTTTGGCACTGTTCTATGCTAAACAGACATTTAAAGAGCTGTCAACATTCTACAAAAGGTGATAGAAAATACTTAGGATTTTTTCTAAAAAAAAAAAAGGAGAACATACCAAATATGGAAAAACAGAAGCAAAGAATGGAGGCACAAGAGCAGAGTGAGTGGGTGCATCCAGGTGTGTCTCCAGTGCATCCAGGAGACTGTAGGTGTATAATAAGGATTTGAGAAAGACAGGCTTGGAAGAGTGAGTCCTATCCAGTTTGTGGAGAATGTTGGATTTAGGCTATGACATAATGCATTCTTGAGACTCAGATATGTCATAACTTGATGTAGTTTTTAAGGAAAGAAAATTGCTAAATGAAAGTAGAATACTTGGAAGGCTCTGGAGGGTACTATAAAAGAGGCAAAGAAAATAAAAAACAAGATTTCAGTTAAGGAAAGGAATTGGGTTCAGTGTTCTAGGAAAGGGTGGAATTCTTAGCAAGAGAACAGTGAAGGGAAAATGAGGCAGGACAGGTCAAGGAAGGGGGAATACTTAGTTAGGAAGGCACAAAAGACTAGGAGAAACTAGCAAAACCTGAGGTTTTAAAACTTGGTACACAATGAAGGTAGATTTCAGGGATAAGAAAGGCAAAAATTCTGGGTAGACAGGAGGGCCAAGGAGAGAACAAAAAGCTCATAGTCCTTGTTGACATTCTGGTAAAGGTATCTTCTGAAGATTCCTTCTTTCTAGGTGTTAGAAGAAAGAGAAATTCACACTAGGCTTCTGCTAGGATAGGAGGCTGGACTGTGCCATTTGTTTAGGTACATTTTCCTATAGGTCTCCTAACCTGAAAGCTGTAATGTTCCTCTCAATAGTTCACTTGGACCTGGAAGATTCCAGCTGTTTAAAGTATACTAAGATGTTGTTGTTGTTATGTGTTGTCGAGTCACCTGCGACTCATAACGACTCAATGTACAACAGTTCTGAAGCCTGTCCTGTCCTGAGCTAGTCTCACTGACTCCAACACACCTACCGCCATTGCCCCAGTTACTGTATCAATCCATCTCATCTGGGGTCTTCCTCTCCTGTGCTGTTCCCCCACCCTTCTGAGCATGATGTCCTTCTCCAAAGACCAGTCCCTCTTGGCCATGTGCCCAAAGTAGGTGAGATGGCGCTTCAAAATCCTAGCCTCCAAGGAGAAATTCCGTTTCATCCTCTCCAAAATAGATATATTTGTGGGGTTTTTTTGTGTTGGTTTGTTTTTGTTTTTTTTTTTTTGGCAGTGCATGGTGTATTTAAGACTCTTCTCCAGAATCACAACTCAAAGGCATCTCTTCTTTTTCTGTCATTCATAGTCACTGTCCAGTTCTCTGATGCATAGCAAGTAATTGTGAAGGCCATGGCATACTAAGATACGGTGGCCTATTTTATGTATCTTTGTCTTTTTATGTAACTGGCCTAATAAAAGAACAATTTAATAAGATTAGAATTAAGCCAATCTGCTGGGCTATTTGTTTTGATTGGTAACCAAGTGCTCTTAAAGAGTACATGCCCACTAAGTAAGCTGAAAGAATTAAAAATTGATAAGATATTTGAGGAAATTTAGAAAAGTATTTGATCTGTCAACTCTAATATATTTCCCCTCCTCTGTCACCATGAAGATCTTTACTAGAGGGTGAGGGAGGTGCTAAACTTCTAGCTGACACTCTGAATAGTTTTAATGTCACTGTTGATAATGGAGACATCGCTTATGATAACAACCATATAGTCAAACAATTTCTTCCTTAGAAAGAATCTTAAAAATCATCTCATTTCTCCCTATTTTGAGGTTTGAATCTACTATATACTTCCTACTAAAGCATTCATCCAGCTACTTGCCTACTTTTCCTGCTCTGTCTGAATTTTTCACAGAGACAGCCCATTCATCTTGAAATGGGTCCTGGCTTATAAAAAAAGAAAAGGTCTTCTTAATATTGAGATGATACTGTGTATACCTCAAAAGTTCATTTCTTGATTCTGGTTCCACCTTTTGAAGGCACCCTGACAAATCTAAATTCTTATTCCATGGCGTAGCCCTTCATACTTGAAGGGACCTCTCATATATCCTTGAATCTTATTTTTCCAGGTAAAACATCTTCAGAGCTTATTTAAACATAAATGCATAACAACAGCACCACCCACAAGTAATTAGGTAGTAAACTTACATGGACACTCACCTTTAAATACTTGGGTGACCCAGCGTCCTTGAAGTTCTGAAATTGGCATAATTGCTCCCAAGGGCTGAACCAGGCCTATGATTGCAAGAGTTGGCTTTTCCAGGTTAGGAGGGAAGACCTTTTTATACAAGGATACCTTGTTCTTAACCACTTTGACACAGTCATCAAGAAAAGGAAAGGCAAAGCTGTAGCCTGTAGCAAAAATAACTGCATCGATGTCATCTTCCCTAGAGCCATCTTCAAATATGGCAGCTGTCTCTGTGAATTCCTTCACATTTCCTTTGATCTTCACTGAACCAGAAATTATTCTATTTGGAAGGTCATCATTTACTGTTGGATGTTGACTTAGAGCTCTATAAGTTGTAAAAAAGACCAAGAGAAGGAGAAAGGGGAGAGATCAAAAGAGTGACCAAAAGAAACCAGCCAAACAAACAAAACATCAGCACTATGTAAGTAAAATTCTGCACTGGCAGAGGGAGTTAAATAATATTTCAGTGATCAACACCATATTCCATCCATGAAATTCTAGAGAGATCTAGTTTACAGCAGCTTAGCACATGTCAGAATCTTAAAGCAGAGAGCCTGGATCATGGATAGCATTAAAGATAAGAGTGTGGGGAAAGTGAGGCAAGGGGAAGTCTCATTGAAAAGTACGTAAGGTACGTACCATCTCACTCCAGTAAGAGTGGCAAAGTTTAACAGGGCAGCAATTAATAGATGTTGGAGAGGATATGGCGAGAAAGAAACTCTTATACATTGTTGGTGGGATTATAAAATGGTGCAACCATTCTGGAAGGCAGTTTGGTGCTTCCTCAAAAAGCTGAACATAGAAATTCCATATGACCCAGCTATTCCACTAATTGGAATATATCCTGAGAATATGAGAACTGAGGCACAAACAGATATTTATACACCAATGTTCATAGCAGTATTATTCACCATCGCAAGAACATGGAAACAGCCCAAATGTCCAACCACAAATGAATGGATTGAGAAATTATGGTACATTCACACAGTGGAATACTATGCACACGCAGGAGCAATAACTGTGTAACTTATTACCTAATTTGAGAGGGACTGGAGAGCAGTATGCTGAGTGAACTAACTCAGTCCCACAAGGATAAATATTATATAGGACCATTATTTTAGAATGAGTATAAGGATCCAGGAGGGGTGGAAAAGGCTAGAAGCATAGGGATGTGAATGTACAGGGGGAAGAGAGGATTAATGATTGGATTGTACAATTTGATGGAGGGGTGAGGGAAAGTGAAAGAATTTGTTCAAATTTGTATTAGAATTTTTTAAGTAAAGTAGTAAAAAAAAAAAATAGAAGAAAAGAAAAGTACATGTGTAAGGGAGCTCTGGTGCCTAATGGCAAGAAGCTGCACTGCAATCCCAGAGGTATGTGGTTTGAATATACTAGATTCTCTGCTGGAGAAGGAGGGGCATTCTCCTCCTGTACCAGTCAGATCTGATTTGATGGTACACAAACAAAAATAATAAACTTTTAAAAAAATACATGTGTAGTTTCTCAAGGAGCAGTAATGTTCTCAGTGATACTGTAAGGCCATAGGCCAATAGTTTCTCTGTACATATCAATTTGCCAGGCAGAGCTGGAGTATCAGAGCTATGCACAATCTTATTTCCAGCTGCAAATGCCCAACAGCTCAATTTAGACCTTCACTTTCTATATTGTATAATAAATTACAACAACATATGAGTTTACAATTTATCAGTTGTTTTCACATGCATTACTTCTCACACAAACCCCATAAAGGAAGTTGGGCAGGTGCATCATCAAGTTTTATGGATAAGGAAATTGAGGCCTAGAGAAGTCATGTGATTGCCCAGGGTTACACATACTAGGATTTGAAAGTATGTGTGAAAATGGATTCCTCATGATATTTTAGGATCTGATCATCATTTGTACCAAAACTATTTATCTTAATTATGGAAAAGCAGTCAAACAAGTCAGAACTGAGAAACATTCTGTGAAACACTACTGACTTGGAATTCTTTATATCTATATCTATCTATATATCTCTATCTCTACCGGTAAAAGAAAAAGACAGAAACTAAAACCAATGCCAAGGTGGGGGGCAGGGAATTGTTCTCAATTAAGAGACTAAAGAGAAAAGATAACTAAATGCAATGGTGTGATATTTGATAAGATCTTGGATTTGAACAAAGAACCCTGATGGTGGTGTAGGTTGAGTGTTGAATTGCTAACTGAAAGGTCAGCAGTCCAAACTCACCAGCTGTTCAATGGAAGAAAGATGAAGTAGGCTCCTCCTGTTTACATTTACAGCCTCAGAAGCCTCATAGTGTGTCACTATGAGTGGGTCAACTAAAAAACAGTAGGGTTGGTTTTATATATAGAATATTATTGGGGCCCTGGGGGAAACTGAAATATGGACAATATAAGAGATAATGATACTGAATCAATGTTATATATCCTAGACCTGACAACTGTATTATTGTTATGTAGGGGAATATCCAATAACTGTTTACATAAGTGATATATACAGAAATATTTTGAGTGCCATGTATTGTCTTAACATTTGACACTTTCAATAATTCAGGAGAAATATGCACAGAATATATGTATATTCAGAGAGAGAGAGAAAGTAAATAAATTAAGCAAACTACTAGCATTACATAAATTTAGGTAAAGGATGTGTAAGTGTTCACTGTATTATTCTTTAAACTTCTCTACAGATTTTAACTTTTCTAAAATGAAAGAGTTAAGAGAAAATGAGAATTTATAATCAGGCTTTAGAAACTCTTTCATAATACACTACCTTGGCCATGTGAGGATCCTTTCTACATATGGTCATATTCCATACATTTCTTTATTATATTTTGTTGATTTTCTTCCCATTCAAATGTTTAGGGTAAAGCCAATTTTTCATGTCTGTCATTTACTGGTTGTGTGACCTTGGACATAGCATTTTCATTTTCTATATTTCAGTGTCTATATTTGTAAAATGAAGATACCAGTAATACCAATCTACATGGCTGCTATGAAAATCAAATGAGATAATGCATGTAACACATTTAGTGCTGTGCTTGTTAAAAGTCAGTCCTCCGAAGGGTGCAGTATTATTTTGGCATTGTTATTGTTGTCTACCGTTGAGTCAGATCTGGCCCATGGTTAACCCGTAAGCAGGTTTTTCAAAGGCGGTTAATTGCACGGGAGTAGATTGCCCATCTTCCCATGGAGCAGCTGGTGCATTTGAACTGCATTCCTTCAAGATTATAGTGCAGATTCTTACCACTAGGCCACCAGAGCATTAATATTACTGTATTTTCTCTCTCTCTAGTCTCTTGTGCAATGGCTCATAATAAAGGAGTTCAAAGTTTGGTGCATGAATGAATGAGTGAATGAATGAGTTATGCCCTCTACTAATGTGTTTTGTTTTTGTTGGACAATATGCCAAAAGAATGGAAACCTGGAGAAATAAAACAATAAATGAATAACAGACTACAAACCATATGCATATGGTGGACTTCTGTGGAAAGCATAGTAGGGACCTAATTTCAAATCCTATAGATTTTCTTAATTGTAGAGGTAGCTCTACGGTTAGCATATATGGATAGTCTTTGTAAACCCCTTGGTCATTTCCTTCCCACTCTTACCCATAGAACATACCTGTGTTTAGGCTTCAGGCCAAACAGTGCGTGGTCAAACCTCTGGTTCATCTTTCTTTCCAAAAATGTGTTTACTAATGATTCATTAAGTATATTCTTTATATAATATTTAAGTCGAGAATTAACTACTATATCAATAGGATAGCCATGGTCCCCCACACGATTCAGGATCCAAGCCCCTCTCCTGGTACTGAGGAAAACCTGTAACATGAGAAAGAGTGCTTGCTTTTACCACTCTTCTGGTAACCTTCAAAAGCACCTCATTTAAATAAATAAACTCATGAAATTGGTTTTACATTTTAATGTCCTTAATTTTTTTCCTTCCTAAAATCTATACCTACAATTAAATATTTGTAATTGCTGTCCCAGAATATGTTTTATTCTGTTGCATCACTGTGCTGCTGTTAATGTCATCATATTTGCCTGGAAAGCCCTCTTTCCTCCTACTTCTTCATATCCTTTCATATCTAAAATCCAGATAAAGTCAGTTTCATCCATGTAAAGACTTCACAGGCTAACTTTCTCTCTGTGTGCAGACCTTCTCTAGCACTTACATCTGTACAACTCCTTCTAAAGCCGTGGAGTGGTAACCATGAACACAAATGGGGAATATTTAACCCTAGGATCTTTTTTTCTCTGACATTGATGATATTACTACAACAAACTGTTGTCATTTGTGTCGGTAATAAAGCATTTATGACTATGGATAAGGAAGACTGAGTAGCAAACCAGGGGGACATACAAATGAAATCCTGCTTGTAAAAATAGGAAGGTGCCTTGAGGCACTTTACTAATGAAGCTTAACAACTATGGCTGTCAGTGTAGATTACACCTACCTTAACTTAAAGAAACAAAAATCCTTTAAACTGGTGCAATAAACTACAACATGATACATGAATGAAAAACTCAAGTTGTCAAGGATTTCATTTCACTTGGATCTACTGTCATTATCTGTGGAAGCAGCAGTCAAGAAATCACACTCCTTTAGGGAGCTCTAGTGACATAGTACATGGTAAGTTGCCCTGTTAACTCAAAAGCTGCACATATCTGGCAGTTTGCATCTACCAGCAGCTCGGAGAGAGAAAAATACAGGAAATCCCTGCCTGTTACAATCTACAGATTTGGAAATGTATAGAGAATCTCTATGACTCAGAACCGACTCAATGACAGTGTGCTTTGTTTTGGCTCCAGTGGCATCAATTACAGTATTGCTACCAGAGGTCACAAAACCAATTCCTATATTTTCCATAGGCACTGATGTACTTTGGAGGTAGCCATTCTCCATGTTGGCTCAACTTATAGCCTCCTTCATGATGACTAGGGTTGAGCGAGGCATAGTAATAATATTACTGATTCAAACCTGCTTGGCTATGTGACTGATTTCCACAGCCAGATCCCCTCCAGAGTTTCCAATGCCAATTACAATGACCCTCTTTCCAGCAAAGGCCTCTGGGTTCTTATATTCTCGACTGTGAAAGTATTGTCCTTTGAACTTCTCAATCCCTGCAAAGAAAGGGAAATATTGTTAGGGGATGATTATCTGGTGGATGATGTTATTGTTTTTGATTGCCTTTGAGTCAAACACAACTCATAGCAACCCTATGAACAAAAGGCCTGAAGCCCTTCTACAACTATCAGCATTTATCAAAGGTTATAGATTTCTGAAGGCATGTTACTTAGGAAGTGGAAGCCTCCTGCTTCCTTGTCAAATCTCCTATTTTCTTCAGTCCTATAGAGAGAGGTTAAGCATATGCTCTCCTTTCTTTCTACTACTCTCTTTTCTTTATGAAAAACTAGCCCAATTTATTTTCCTATAACCTGGGTAGAAGACTGTGACTGCCTTATCAGATACAGTCTACAGAGCATAAGAATCTATTTCTTATGTAGAGTTAGAGATTCACAAACCCAAACTATCATCTCTCTCTCTCACTGCTGACAAGTTAGAACCAGAACTGACCTTCCAGTGCTGAAGAAGGTCAAGCACTGCAGCCCTCAATATGGATTGAATCTCAACATCAAGAAAACAAAGATTCTCACCACCGGGCCAATTGGCAGCATCATGATAGATGGTGAAGAGGTCAAGATTATTCACAGCTTTAGTTTGCTTGGCTCCACAATCAGCACTCTTGGTACCAGCAGCCAGGAAATTAAAAGACAAATTGCATTGGCAAAGTCTGCTGTCAGAGACCTCTCCAAAGTACTGAAGAGCAATGCTGTCAGTCTGGTGACTAAGGTGTGCCTGATCCAGGCCATGCTCTTTGAAATTACTTGCTATGTATCAGAAAGCTGGACAAGGACTAGGGAGGATAGAAAGAGAATTGATGCCTTTGAGCTGTGGTGCTTGAGAAGAGTACTGAATATATCATGGACTGCTAGGAGAACAAACAAGTTCATCCTAGAGAGGGTGAAACCATGCTGTTCTTTGGAGGCAAGGACTCTGATGCTTCATATGACATACTTTGGACATGTTACAAGGAGGGACAAGTCCTTGGAGAGGGACATCATGCTTGAAAAGTTGGAGGGACAGCACAAGAGAGGAAGACTCTTGATGAGATGGATTGATTCAGTGACTGGGGTAAGGAGGTTAGGTGTGTCAGAGACAGTAAGGCTGGCTTAAGATAGAGCAAGGTTTAGGGCTGTTGTACATAGGGTTGCTTTGAGTTGCAGGCAACTCAATGGCACATAACAACAACAACATCACACAGAAGGAGACTTCCCATCTTTCTCCCATGCAGCTGCTGGTAGATTCTCTGCTGCCAGAGAAGAGATGCCTCTGAGTTGGCAGTGCACCAACCTATGGACTAGGCCATCAGAGTTCTCTCTAATCTCTTACTTCCCTGAAACAAATTCTCCATTCTCAATTAGAGCATATATTTGTGTGCATGCACATAACGGACACAAAATGAAAAAATCAAGATAAAGGCTCTGATTAAATTCTTTCTTCACTCTTTCACCTCCTGTGGCCATCGCTGAAGCGGCAGCGGCCAAAATTAAGTTCAATCCTTTTGTGACTTCTGACCGCAGCAAAAACATTTCAATGCACCCTCTCACGTTCAAAGGAAGATTATGTCTTCTCCTCTGTCCAAGGAGCTGAGGCAGAAATACAATGTGCGGTCCATGCCCATCCGAAAGGATGATGATGTTCAGGTTGTACAAGGGCACTATAAAGGCCATCAAATTGGCAAAGTAGTCCAGGTTTACAGAAAGAAATATGTCATCTACATTGAACAAGTGCAGTGAGAAAAAGCTAATGGCACAATGGTCCATGTGGGCATTCACCCCAGCAAGGTGGTTATCACTAAGCTAAAACTGGAAAAGACAGAAAAAAGATCCTTTAGTGTAAAGCTAAATCCCACCAAGTTGGAAAAGGGCAAATACAAGGAAGAAACAATTGAGAAGATGCAAGAGTAAAATATTAACACAACTTCATTGAAAACGAAAAATGAAAAAAAAGCTTTCTTCAAGTTTCTATCTCCCTTAGAAACCCAATACTCTATTTGTTTCCTTGATTGCTGAAAAATTCTTAATTCAACAATTCCATGCTTTTTCTGATCCTTAGAAACGCTAATTTTCCTCTAATTTCAACAAGTACCATTATTTCTATCTCCATCCCAAATAATAGTGATCTGACTTACGCAAACATCAAAGATACATACAGAATTAATCATTAATTCATGCTGAGCTTGAGATCACTCATGCTGAAATACTCGCATTCCTCAGGGCTTGGGGTAAGGGCATGGTTCAGGAGTCTGCCTTCCTGGTACTTGACTCACCTGGGAAGCTTTCCAGGGGTAGATGAGCATTGGTGTGGTGACCAGTGCAAACCATGACTCCATCAAAGATGTTCATCTCCTTTTTCCCTTCAGACTCTGTGACCACTTCCCATTGACCTGAAGTAGCAAAGTCAGGCCGCTTCTTCACACTGCACACAGTGGTCTGCAGAGCAAAGAGACAGCCACAGAGGTCTGTAAATACAGCCTATACAGTGGAAACCTTCCTGAGCACCACTCTACATACGGTGTTTCACAGAAGGGCTGAGATCACATGAATTCTCAATTCCTACATAATAGTGTCTAGTAGGAATAATTTTTTATTTCTTATGCGTATTTTTAAAAATTTATTCTTTTTTTAAATTAATTTTAATGAACGTTTACAAAGACTTAGGGTTTCCAATCATTCACTTTTCTCCCTGCCCACCCCCTCTCCCCCTTCTCCTTGAAAAGTAAAAGAACTCTTTAATTGTTATGCAATATTTGATATTCCACAAATAACACCTCTCCTCTACCCCTTCCCCTAGTTACAGTAAGAAGACCGCTAAGAGGCAAGCTAAGTACAATAGGTACAATAGGTTGTTAGGCTAATGTTGAACTCTCCCTTGCTGCTTTTTCAAAAATATTTTATTATGTTTTAGGTGAAAATTTACACAATTAGGTTCTCAATTGAAAATTTCTACACAAATTGCTTAGTAGCATTAGGTATATTTTTCATACTGTCTTATACTCTTTAATTACATCTTGTTGATTCATTTCTAGTACTTTCATTTCCTTGCTCCCTTCTCTTCTTTGCCTAACTTAACTGTTGACCCTTTGCTCTCACACAGAGTTTTTTAATGGAGCAAGTAGTTCATTGATAATATCCTTTACTTTTGTGTTCCAGTCTGTCCTTTTTGATAAGTGACCTCAGAGTATAGTTTTGGTTCTTTAAGAAACATTTCAGAATTATAGTTTGAGGGAGTCTCCTAGTTAAGTAAGTCTGGACTTTTAAAGAATTTAATAATTCTGTCCTATATTTTTCTCCTACTCTTAGCAGGGTCCATTTATTGTGGCCTTGATCAGAATAGTCAGTGGTAACCAGGCACCATCTAGTTCTTGTGATCCCAGAGTAGATGAGGCTTTGGCTCTTGTTGGCTATTAACTCTGTTGACTAGTTTCTTTTCTGAAACTTAAATTTCTCTTTTGCTCCTGAAAAATAGAGGCCACTAGTTGAATCTTAAATGGTTGTACATCTCCTTTGCTTTCAGAGCACATTACCAAGTTCCTTGGACCATGTACTATGATGCCCAAATAAAGCCTGGAATTCTTCTATGCTGTTATGACACTCCATTAACTAGCCTCTTCCTTTTGGAGACTTTTGAGACCCTTGTGTACTTTCTTACACCAAGTCCTGTTCTCAATAGCTAGCTTTCCCATGTGAATGAGCTATAGGGTTCAATTCCAAGGTGGAACAGAAAACATTTCAGTATAGCATTCATAACTATTCATTTTGCAAGTAACTATAAAGAGGCTGTGGGATGGGTTAGTCAGTGGTATATTTTTAGCTTTAGAGGGGGAAGAAAGTGAGAAAGTAAATAAGCTGGAGGGTCAGCAAAAGAGAAGAAGACACACACACACACACCCTCAATGAGATGGATCAACACAGGGACAACAGCAATAGGCTCAAGTGGGTCAGAGATGATGAAGATGGATGAGGACAGGACAGGGTACAGGTCTGTTGTTCATAGGGTCACAGTGAGTCATATGTGACTCAATGGCACCTAACAACAACAAGAAGTAAAGTTTACTTAGTTAAAAAATAGCAAGAATAAGTTCCTACTTGTAGGGGCCTTAAGACCATAGTAATTTGCTGGACTATCCAGGGAGTTCTAGTGATAAGAAGCTGTGCATGCCAAAGGCATGTGGTTCGGATCCACCACCTGCCCCAGAGGAGGGCGTTATCTCCTCACATGTGATTTACTGCCTCTGAAAACCTGCTGGAGAGTCAGTTATGAAACAGTTCTGACCTGATGGCATACAACAACAATAGCAATATCCACTCTTGTATGCCCTGATCATGCTGCACTATTCATACTTTGTCTCCAGCACATTCTTGCTTTACATAGACTAGTACCTATACTTGGATCACCCTATTATTCTTGCTTCATTTAACAGACCCCTCTTCCTACTCTTTAGCATGCACATCACCACCTTCAGGATTCTTCATCCAAGAGTTAAGTGTTTCTGCTTTGAATTATAATGCATGCATCTCTATGGCACTTATCACCCTTCATCCCCTTTCTTCTGCTTCCCCAACAAACCTGCACTTACTAGTTTGTTTTCTAGTTTTTATTTCACCACTGCTTAGTATGGCAGTAAACTTGTTCATTATTTGTTGCTTTAAAAAAATGTGAAAAGGGAGCCCTGGTAGCCTAGTGGCAAGAAGCTGTACTACAATCTCAAAGGCACATGATTCAAATCCACCAGATGGTCCACTGGAGAAGGAGGGGGCAATCTCATAGTGATGTTATTCATCATCACAAGAACATGGAAACAGCCCATATGTCCAGCCACAAGTGAATAGATTAGAAAAGTATGGTACATTCACACAATGGAATACTATACAGCTCACAGGAGCAATGATTTTGTAAATTATTGCCTAACTTGGGAGGGACTGGAAAGCATTATGCTGAGTGAACTAACCCAGTCCCACAAGGACAAATATTGTATAAAACCATTATTGTAGAATGAGTATGAGGATCCAAGGTGGGGAGAGGGTGGCAGCAGAAGGGTGAGGATGTGCGTGGGGAGTGGGGGGGAGATTTGTCATGAGGTTGTACAACTTGATGATAGGATGAGGGAAATTGGAAGATTCTGTTCTGGAAAACAATGCATTTGAATTTTGTAAATTAAAAAAAAAACAACACCAAGAAAATAAGGCATTATTTAGTAGAGTTGTGTAAGACAGGAGACTTGAACTTTTTCCCCCACTTTTTTTTATTATTATTAATTTCAATAAAAATTTACAGAGACTTTGGATTTCCATTCATTCATTGTTGCAGAGACTTGAACTTTTTAACCTGCCTTTTTATGACCATTGTTAAGAATTATAGACAATCCACTGAAGACTTTAGGGCAAGTAGGAGCCACTGAAACTATCCAGTACAATCACCCTGTTTTAATAACAAGGAAATTAAGACAAACCAAAGTTGAATAGCTTACTTATCTGAGGTCACTAGTTAATACATGGCAGAGCAAGGACTAGAGAGCAGATTTTTGGTCTCCAGTGTTTGCTTTTACATTGGGTTATTTTGAGGTAGTTATATAAAAGAATGAATTGGAAATAACTTTGGGAAGTATGAAAGAGCTAAGCAACAGCAAAGAAGTAGTGGGTTCATAACATTTAAGAGTCTTTCAATTACTCATCGGAGGGTCATTCTGACTCTGGCATACAACAGCAACAACAGCATGACCGGGAAAACTTTCTCTCACATCATGCTGTAAAAGTCTGTAAAAGGAAGACAATTGAAAGCATTCATCCAGGTGGGTTACTGATCTATAACCCAAATATTTAGAAGATATTTGATGGGGCAAAAAATACCTTTCTCTCTCCTCTGGGTAACTCATATACATAGTACATCAAGCTAATCTTAAAATGTAAGCCCTTGTAAATGGAAACTTCATTACTCTTTTATCTGACAGACAACTTCAAACACAAAGATATATAAAAAATGTCTTACCTTGAATCGAATATATTTTACAAGGTTAAATTCTTTGGCATACAGCCTGAAGTACTCCAGGACCTGAGAGTTGTGCATGAAGTTGGGATAATGATCTGGGATGGGATAGTCACTGAAGCACATCATCTCCTTAGAAGTATTGATGATCACTGATTTGTAAATACTGGCCCTTCCTTCTTCTGGATTTTCCTGCAGTAAATAAGAAGGTACACGAAGAATTGATGCCTTTGAGCTGTGGTGCTGGAGAAGAGTATTGAATGTACCCTGGACTGCCAAGAAAACAGATTCATCCTGGAGAGGGTTAAGCCAGGCTGCTCCTTGGAGGCAAAGACTTCGTCTGACATACTTTGGACATGTTGTAAGGAGGGACAAGTCCTTGGAGAGGGACATCATGCTTGGGAGGGTTGAGGGACAGTGCAAGAGGAGAAGATCCTCTATGAGGTGGATTGATTCAGTGACTGGGTTATTTAGAGTGGGTGTGTTGGAGAAGTGAGATTGGCACAGGATAGAGCAGTGTTTAGGGCTGTTATTCATAGGGTGAGTCTCAAGTGACTCAACGGCACATAACAATAACAAATAAGAAGGATTCATAGAAATTCCAAGATCAACTTTTTGGTTTATAAAGAGTTATTAAACATTTGAAAAAGTATTCTGAAAGAAATGCAATTTTTAAAAACTACACATACATGCAGTGTTGGGTAGGAGCCACACCTCCTCATACTTACAGGCTTGTGTAGCCCCTTCCCCTTAAATCTAAGGACTCTGTCACTTGTTTTTGACCAACAGCATGCAGGTGAAGTGACAGTGAATGACTTTGAATACAAAGTTATCAATAGCTTTGTGGCTTTTGCATGGGTCTCTTAGAAAGATTATTGTGATGGAAGTCAATAATCACGTAAGACATCCAACCACCTCAGGACCACTACACTTTGGGGAAGCCCAAGTTAGATGCATGAAGAGAATGTCTGAGATGGATATGTGGCAGCTTCCCAGAAATTCTAGCTATCCCAGATAAATCCAGACACATAAGCAAAGAGGCCATATCAGATATCTAGTCCCAGCTGTTATCTGGTTGCGGACCCATGAGATACCACATAAGGACTGCCTACCTAAGTAATACTCTTTTAAATGTTTATATATACTTAAATGTTTACTGTTTAAATATATAAATTTTATAAAGTGAACTATTCTAGAGATATTAACAAATTATGTGCATTCTAAGTATAAAAAGTGTGTGGTTGTTAGATGCTGTCAAGTTGAGTGTGATTCCTACTGACCCTATGAACAACAAATCTAAATCCTGTCCTATCCTGTGCCATCCTCATCATCTCTAACACATACGTGAGCCCACTGGTATAGTCACTGTGTCAGTCCATTTCATTGGGGGTCTTCCTCTCTTTAGCTGACACCCTACCTTTCTAAGCAAGATTTTTTTCCCAAGGATTAGCCTCTCAAAAACATGCGTGAGAGACGAAGCTTTGTCATCTTTGCCTCTAAGGAGCACTTGGGATGTACTTTTTCCAAGACGTATCTGTTTGCTCTTTTGAAAGTCCATGGACTACTCAATACTCTTTACCAACACCACAACTTAAAGGCATCAATTCTTCTTCTGTCATCCTTATTCAATGTACAGCTCTCAGATGTATAGCAAGTAATTGAAACGATCATGGTCTGAATCAAGTTCACCTTTGTCTTCAAACTGACTATGGCTCTTCAGTATTTTGAAGAGGTCCTTGTTAGTGGACTTGCTCAATTAACATCCCCTGATCTCCTGTCTGCCTGTACCAATGGTGTTGATGATCTAAGAAAGAGGAAATCATTGACAATTTTGTGAAGTTATTATGATGCAGGGAGGGAATGGAACTAGATCTGAAGGCCAGTGCTGGCACACTTTGCATATAACACCAAAACAAAATCCAAACAAGCTGTTTCTGTAAATATTGGCAAATTAACTCCAGAGTTTATGAGGTAAGGCAAAAGGCCAATAACAGCCAACTTTGTCCTTATGTATGGGCTGCATATAACTTTTTTCCAAAAACCATAAAACAGAAAAAGCAAACCTGTGTGGAGACAAACATTATAAACATTATGTCAGGCTAGGGGATAAAGGTTAACACCAGCAGTGGTAAGTCACACTGATAGTATGTACTCTTAATATAGAAGCCCTTTTGGTTCATGGTTCATGGTTCATTGATTAAAGCACTTGACAGAAAACTCCAAGGTTTGTGTTTTGAACCCACAGCCACTTCAAAGGAGAACTGACTCATAAATGGTCCTCCAGTGAGTTTTGTGGATTCAAACCACCTGCCTTTGGGATGGCAGCCCAACTCTTCACCATCAGACATCCAAAGCCATCTCCCTCTGAAATAGGCCACTATAGTAGGTAAACTCTATAAACTTTGTTAAATGTTGATAGTTGTAGAGGGTCTTCAGGCCTTTTGTTTATAGGGTCACTATGAGTTGTGCTTGACCCAAAGATAATGAATAACAATAACAATATTAGATAATGAGAAATATCAGAAACTCTGTTATTGAAGGTTCAAAGTTTAGTACAAAGATTGGAGGAAGACTTATCAATAACTTATGTTATACAGATGACACAACCTTACTTGCTGAAACTGAGGAGGGCTTGAAGCATTTGGCGCAGAGGGTCAAGGACTGAAGTCTTCAATATGAACTGAAGCTCAACATCAAGAAAACAAAGATAAGAGACTAGGGATAGAGCTTATTGGTATCAGAGTGAAAAAAGAAACTCCAGCTCTTGGATTTCATACTCTTTCACCATCAATGAATATAATCTGTCTTCTATATATGCACTCAAATTATCAAGGGCACATAACACATATTTAAGTCATTGTTATGTGCTGTTGAGATGACTAGGATGCACAACCCAAACAACAGATCGAAACCTTGCTCTATCTTGTGCCATCTTCATGATCTCCCAAACATGTCCCCAATGCATGGTTATAGTCACTGTGTCAGTCCATCTTGTTGAAGGTCTTCCTCTCTTTCTCTGACCCTCCATGTTTCTCAGCATACCTTTTTTCAAGGAAGCATATAAGAAAAGAATGTGGCAAATAGAATGAAGGGACTGGAGATGGAAATGAGAACTGAATAAAGGAGAAAAAAGGACAGCCTTTCAGTGGGAGACTTGAGTACAGTCTGGCTTTTTGTTCCCCTTGAAGTCTCTCAGAATAATAATCTGAGGAATTCTAAAAACCAAGGGGGGGGAATACGAACATCTTGACTCTACAACTACAGTCAGTGCTGTTTTAATTACTTACTTCTTGTTTCATATGTAGAAAAGGGTGGAACTCAGCTTGAAGGTAGAGTGTTGACCGTAGAGTTCACAACATCAGAATTTGTCCCCATTGACCTCAAAAGCCCTTTTTCCCCACATCCTCAGCTACGCACCCAAGAGCCTGAGTGCAGTGGCAAGGTACTATAGATCTCTTTATCTCCATAGCATCTGATTTTGTAAAATTCCACCCAGGTTTGTTTAAGATATTATTATTGATTTTGTCTTATAGGTACATTTTTCACTTGAGAAGCTGTAGGTCAAAAGTCTTCACCTTTCTCTGTAGATTAGAAACATAGGGAGAGCTATTCCCCACCCACCCCCAGCACCTGTGATGGTGGTGCAGGACTGGGCAGTGTTTCGTTCTGGGTCACTATGTCAGAACTGATTCAATAGGAACCTAACAACAAAGATAACAGGCCAATAAAATCAGAATTGTAAGGATGGATTGATATCAGTATTATTTGAAAGTTCTCTAGGTGATTCTTCTATGTGCTGCCAAATCTGAGAACCACTGATTGTTGTTATTGTTATATGCTAGTTGTTTTCAACTCATAGCAGCCTTGCAAGTCAGAACCCCAAAGGGGGTTCCCAGGCTGTGAGTTTATGGGGGCAGATCACCATTTATTTTTCAGTTGGTAGTCAAATGCTTACCAATTAATGCACCAGGCCTTATTGCCATCAGCTGAGTCAATTCTGACTCAGAGATTGCTCTACTGTTACTCTTTTTAAAGTATTTTTACATCCATTCAGGTACTTTATTACTTTTTGTCATTTTCTTTAGAAATTAAATTTAACAATTTAGAAAACCTCTATATAGAAGCTTTTTATTAATTTGATACTTTAGATTAAAATATATTAAATATGACATACTTTAATAATAATGGTATTGTGCAGTATATATCCTTAAGAGACTGAGTTAGTTCAGTCAGCATAATGCTCTCCAGTCTCTCCCAAGTTATGTAATATTTTTTTAAATCATTGTTCCTGAGTGCTGCATAGTATTCCACTGTGTGAGTGTACCACAATTTCTCAATTCATTCTGTTGTAGTTGAACATTTGGGCTGTTTCCATGTTCTTGCGATGGTGAATAATGCTTCTATGAACATTGGTATACAAGCCTCCATTTGTGTCTCAGTTCTACCTGGATCAAACTGAGTTTCTATGTTCAAGTTTTTGAGGAAATGCCAAACAGCCTTCCAGAGTTGTATCATTTTACAATCCCACCAACAGTCATTATTGTAAAAATAGAAGGATAACTAGTAAAGTATGTATAGAGACCCAAGGGGGGAAGTGGTAGGAGCAAAGGGGTGAGGATGGGTAGGTGCGAAACCACAGGGTTGCACAATTTGGTGAGTGGAACGAGGGGGTGAGGAAATGTGAAAGATTTGTTAAAGATCTGAAACAATATGGTAATGATGGGCATGGTCCAATGGTGGTTAATTTTATAAAACTGAATTCATGGGAATAATTGTATGAAATACAATGTGAATGAAGAATAGTGTGAAACACAATATATATGAACTTTGTAAGCAAACCAATAAAATAACGAAAAATATGATCGTATATTGTATTATGCTCATTGTTGTTGTTGTGTGCTGTCAAGTCAGAATCAACTTATAATTGACCCTTCAGTGGGTTTTCAGAGGTAGTTAATTACATGAGAGGAGAATGCCCATCCTGCTTCCATGGAGCTACTGGTAGATTTTAACTGTGTGCCTTTGGGATTGCAGCCAGCTTTTTACCACTTGGCCACCAGAGCTCCCTTTTGTGCCCATAGGGAATAATTTTTAGAGTATGTATACTATTTTTTTTTTTTTAGAGTATGTATACTCTTTGACCTATATTTCTTAGTTTGTTGTGTTGTGTACTACTGAGTTGGAACCAACCCATAGCTGACCATCCAGTGGGTTTTCAGAAGCAGTTAATCATACAGGAGGAGACTGTCCATCCTCCCATGGAGCAGCTGGTGGATTTGAACTGCACACCTTTGGGATTGCAGTGTAGCTTTTTGGCACCAGGCCACTAGAGCTCCCTCTGGTTAAAAGATGAATGGCATTGGAAAAGTCTGCTGTCAGAGACCTCGCCAAAATACTGAAGAGCAATATCAGTCTGTAAACTTAGGTGCACCTGATCATGGCCATAGTCTTTGCAATTACTTGCTATGCATCAGAAAGCTGGACAATGAGTAGGAAATGATAGAAGGAGAATTGATGCCTTTTGGCTGTGGTGCTGGAGAAGAGTACTGAGTATTCCATGGTCTGCTAAGAGAACAAACAAGTTCATCTTGGAGAGGGTGAAACCAGGCTGCTCTTTGGAGGCAAGGATTCAGAAGCTCTCTCTGACATACTTTGGACATGTTGCAAGGAAGGACCAGTCCTTGGAGAGGGACGTCATGCTTGGGAGGGTGGAGGGATAACACAGGAGAGGAAGACCTTTGATGAGATGGATTGATTCATTGTCTGGGGTTATGGGGGTAGGTGTATCAGAGACAATGAGATTGGTACAGGACAGAGCAGAATTTAGGGCTATTGTACATAGGGTCACTATGAATCACAGGTGACAAGAGGACACATAACAACAAGAAGAATCTACAAGTGGATACACAGCAGATAGACAAGCTGAACAGGTATGAGTGGGTGAATGGGACTACACCCATGACCCCATACAGGTCTGACGAAGATCTTTCTATTGAACTATCTGTACAAGCTGTAAATATCTAGGTACAGTTGACCTTTGAACAACTTGGGGTCAGGGGTGCTGACCAACTGAGGATCTGTATAACTGTATAATTAATTTACAGTTGAGCTTTGACATCATAGGTTTGAACTACTCAGGCCCATTTATTTGTGGATTATGTTTTCTGTTGCTATTATAGTGAGTTCAGGTATTGCTTAAAACATCATGTGAAAAAAATAACACACCCCATCATGTGACCAGATGGCCTCTAGGGCAACAGAGAAAGGACTGTGGTTGCTTTGCTGTGTATCTTCAAGTCAATTCCAACTCCCAATGACTCTGCAGGACAGGGTTCTAGGCCTGCCCCAGAGAGTGTTCTAGGCTGTAATTTCTGGAAGAGCAGACTGCTAGGTCTTTTCATTGTTGGAGAGGCTGGTTGATTTGAAACATTCACCTTTCAGTTAGTAGTCAAACCCTTCACCATTGTGCCACCAGGGACCCTTGAGAGAATACTGTTGTTGTTAAGTGCCATTGAATCAGTTCCAACTCTCAGTGACCATATGTGCAACAGTACAAAACAACGCCCGTTCCTGTACCATCCTCACAAATGTTGTGCTTAAACCCATTCTAGCAGCTTTACTTTACACTCATTCTACTTTGAGAAGGCAGCTCCTTCCTCTTTGGATTTTAAATGCCTCCCAACCTGAAAGGTTTGTCCTCTAGAACTATATCAGACAGTGTTCTTCTGTTCATAAGGTTTTCACTGGCCAGTTATTTTAGGAGTAATATCTTATTCAGACTCAATGGTTCTTAACAACAACAGTCTGTCTTAGCCTGCTAGTTCCGTTGAAAACTGCCTACCATCGATGACTCTGCTGTTATTTGGAACACATGTGACATAGTGTCCAGCATCATATCAACATACAAATGACCACAGTACAACCAATCAACAGATGAGTGGTGGGAAAGAATAAGAGAGGTATTAAAATGTGAGAGAAGAAAACAATGTAAGATGTAGAGAAATCCTGAATCCCTGGAACCTATGACAAAAGAGATAAAATGGAAAACTCAAATTCCCCAATGTCTTCCTACAAACCCACTGGCAATATGGAATTGAAAAGTTGTTGGACTCTCTTTATTTAATATGAAATCCATAATAGCTTTCACCTGAATTACAGATTTTAGAACAATTCACAGAGAAGAAGAATTCCGAATAGCAAGCAAAAGGGACTTTTAGAGACCGGATGCCAGGTAAAGAACCTTAAGGAATCCAGCCTGACACGCTTAGAAATTAAAGAGGTGTATAATGCCTCAGGCCCTAAAATTGTTTAACTCTGGAATACTTGAAAATTAAAGTCTCCAGTTTTCCACACATCCAAGGACCTACTCAAGACAATCTTCTCCTCAAGGACTTATTTATTAAACATAAGTATATTGGTTACTACTATTTGCCAGGGTTCATGGTTGGCTTTAGACACAATGGTGAATCATACAGATGTGGCCTTCTCAACAGAAGCCAGAAAATTGTGTTGAAATATAGCTTATTTCTTTTCCATGAAGTAGTTTTGAAGGTGTTGACATTTTGCTAAGAGGATGGTAAGATAGATTTCAAGCTAATTCTTCAACAGGAAACAAGTTTAAACCACTTCGGTGATAAAAATCAGAAACTTAATCATTAGGCAAGATGGTAGATGTCCTCTCCACCTCTTCCCCTCCTCAACTAATTTTAGGATTGTTTAGTAATTGTAAAATCTGACTGTGGCACTTACTAGAAATGTTGAAACTTGAGTCTCATTTAAGACATACTGAATAATAATTAACATATACTTTGTACCTGGCACTGTTACAGATAATGAACATATTTAGTTCTTGATTTAATGCCCCACAGTTCTATGAGATGTGTATTATGTTATTTGCTTTCTAAAAAAGAAGAATTGATAAAATAGATTTCAGCATAAAATCTATCACAAAGGAAAAAGGCCATTATATAAAGATGAAGAATTGGAGTTACAGAGTAACTTAATGATTTTCCCAAGGACATACAAGTACAGAGACCTGGTAAACAGCTAAACAAGACTGGTGATTCAAGCTTATTGAGTGACTTCTTAGGAAAGAGACTTGGTGATCTACTTCCACAAAGAAAGATTACAGCCAAGAAAATCCTTTGTGATTCTACTCTGTAACATGGGGACTCTAAGGAGTTGAAAATGACCCTAAACACTTTGCAACAATACTGTTTATATGTTATATAAGCAGAATTTGAACCAAACTGGGCTCTTCACCACTTTTCTAAGTTGTGTCTAGATTTCAACAGTAGAATTTTCTGTTGATAAATTAAAAAACCGAATCAGTAAGATATCCAGGACTCCTCCTCATTAGAGGAGGGTTGGCCATCTGTTAGGGAGTGAGGGGTCCATTCTAGATCCAGACAAGGAATACTGTCATATAGAGTTAATCCTCAAAGAGTAAAGAGGAATCTGTCAGTGCTTTTAGAAATGAATGCTGTCTGTTATGGGAAAGAAATGCTCAAGACAAGCATAGCGACCAGACTTTAGACTTCACTCTGTATTTAATTTAAGAATCTAAGGTTGTGAAAGAACAACCTGAAAATGAAGCAGAGTCCAAAAAAGGAAAATAAATATCCAAGAGAAAATGGAACAGAAGAATTCTTGGGAGTTGTAAGCAGGTAAATTCTAATCCATTTATCTATTATTGTAGACCTGTATGCTTTCTAATGCACATGTATCATTGCTTCCAGAGTGTTTCCTTTTTCTTAATGCAACAAAATCCATTAAATACAGGTGGTCTCTGTGCCAATTTTAGAAACAAGAAGGGAAATACGGTGACACTTGTGGCCGTTTTGCTGCCACCCTAGGGAAAGAGGACCCACAGGGAACCTGGTGGCTGCTAAGGAGTTAAGTTTCCAAATCCTTGTGGCTGTGGAAGAAAGAAAAGGGGAACCAGACCAAGATGAGATTCTTGCTGGCTTAATCACTTGTCGAGCCCATCACACTCGATGACACTGGATTTAAAGTCTCAGAGAGGGTTCCAAATATTACCGAGCGGAGATTTACCTGGAATCTCCAGAGGCCTCCGATGTCGCCTGACCTTTCAAAGCAGACAGGTTCCAAATCTTCTTCCAGGCAGCACTTGATAGAAGTCAGACCGCTCACCCCTCCCCCAATCACGGCAATTCTTTTCTTGGCCATGATCTTCAGAAGACTTCACTGGATTGAGTCGATGCCACTACTCCTCCTAAAGAAAGGACGACGGGGAGAAGACAGAGACTACAGATCAGTTACCATCTGCCTAGGGAGGGAACTCAGGCTACGACGTTCAAATAAATGCTACAAGTTGTATCTGGTGGCTATGGAAACACCAGACCGTACTGTCGTAGTTTTTTGGTGAGATTTTCTTTTTGGTTAGGTGCTGTCAAGTCGAGTATGACTCATAGCGACCCTATGAACAGCAGACCTGAACCAAGCCCTCCTCCGGTGCTACCCTCATCATCTCCGGCACACTCGAGCCCATTGTTAAAGTCATCGTGTCAACAAAATGTTGAGGATTTTCCTCTCTTTCGCTGACCCTCTATCTTTCCAAGCATGATGTCCCTTTCCAAGGAATAACCTCGCCTAGTTACTTGTCCGAAGTATAAAAGATGAAGCTTCGCCATCCTTAACTCTAAAGAGCACTCTGGCTAAGGAACTGCTATTCGCGTGCAGAAGGAGCCCGTGACAGCAGGATCCAGAGCATCGAATGTTCGTCTGTGTTACCTGAACCCACTCCCTTTTCCTCAGCTCACGGTAGAGCCACCAGCTGTAATCTGGAAGTTAGACTGAACTTTCAGCTGTTCTCAAGCAAAGATAGAACAACAGCTTTTAAACATTAGCAAATAGGAAGGAGCAGTTCGGCTCCACCTCCTTTACGCCAACATTCTGCCAGCTAACTTTCCCACCCCGCCTACGAATAAAAGGTGGGCTGAACCTGTGCTGTACAGAATTTAAAAAAAAAAAAAATCAATCTTACATCTCTATTTTGCAGCTGTTTTTGCCAGCGCTTTCAACTACGCCCTCTGTAGACCGACCAAAGTCCCCTTTCTCCAGCGCTCTTCACCCTTCCCCATCCACTTTTAACTTCCTGGTTCTTGTCTTAAAGTGACAGCTCCTACTGCAAATACTGTCAAGAACCCCAGAGGAAAATCTTGCTTCGGTTATTTCAATGGAAAATACCTACATTTCAGGGCATATGGGGAAAGCGAGAAGGGGGGTGGGGGGAGTGATCCCTGCCTCTCTTTCACTTTTTTTTGTGTGAAAAAAAATTGTATTTAGAATTAGCCAGCTGAGCTCAGTTGAGATGATCCCAATTTTGTTGGCAACATCCAAAGCATCATAGTCAGGAGCAAGTAGAACATAGGCCTTCTCTCCATCAGGCCTAATCAAAGTGTTGACCTTAGCCACATCAATGTCATAGAGCTTCTTTACAGCTTGCTTAATTTGGTGCTTGTTGGCCTTGACATCCACAATGAACACAAGTGTGTTATCTTCTATCTTCTTTATGGCTGACTCAGCGGTCAGAGGAAATTTGATGATGGCATAGTGGTCAAGCTTGTTTCTCCTGGGGCCGCTCTTCCGGGGGTATTTGGGCTGCCTTTGGAGTCTCAGCATCCTTAGGCCAGGGAAGGTGGGTGAGTGCGGATCTTCTTTTATTTGGCTGTGGATGCCCTTCAGGACTGCCTTCTTGGCCTTTTATGCCTTTGCTTTGGATTCAGTTTTGAGAGGGGCAGGGGCTTCCTTCTTGGCTTTCGGCTGGAAAGTCTTTCACTTTTCTACCACTCACTTGCAGATTGGATTTTGGTATTTCACTCTTGGTAAATGTTTCCATTATTAACTATTTAGTTGAAAGAGCACTACTTTTTTTCTAAAAAAAAATTCTTTTATTATTTTTTGTGTATACCGTCAAATAGGATCTGACTGGTACAGGAGGAGATTGCCCCTCCTTATCCAGCAGAACATCTGGTGGATTCAAACTGCATACCTCTGGGATTGCAGTGTAGCTTCTTGCCGCTAGGTTACCAGAGCTCCCTGAAAGAGCACTACTTTTGAAAATGCTTTCTGTCACAGTTGAGGAGTTCTGGTGGCATAGTGGTAAGGAGTTGTTCTTTCAATCCAGAGGAACATACTTTGAATCTACCAGCTGCCGCATGGGAGAAAGATGGACTGTCTCTCCTCCTCTGCACGTTTTATCCTGAAAACTACCTGACTCCAGCCGACACAATAACAAAAATATCATCATCACAGTTACATCATCAGGTAAAAAGATCCAGGTTTAACCAGTAACTTAAAATGTTTAAATATCCAACAAAACAATCAACCATAAAAGGCCAAAGTAATGAAAATAGGATTTCACACACTAAGCCAGAATCTGGGGCTCTCATGATCTAGTGATTAAGGAGTTTGTAGAGAAGGTTCAAGAGAAGGTAGTAGATCGAATCCACTAGCTGCTCTGTGGGAGTGAGATGGTAAATCTCTTCTCCTGAGATTTGGAGCTGCCAGCTAGAAGGTCAGCTATGGATCACTTCCCACTCTCAACAGACACTTAATAGCAAAAAGGTTGGAATCTAGCTCCATCTAGCCCAGGGTTTTATTTTGACAGCTGTGCCAGATAGTAGGAGGCTTTTGTTTGAGGCTGATGCAACTCTTCTTTTATCTCCTGCCTTTCCCTGAGTTAACCTTGCTGGCTCAAGCTGATACTTATTGATATTAGTCCTGCATTTTGGCTTACTAGCTTTAAGACAAGTAATTTGTTAAAAGAAAATGGCTATTGGCTGTCACTTACTGAAGGCTTATCTTGTATGTTGTTGTTGTTGTTATGTGCTGTCCAGTCCTTTGCGACTCATAGCGACCCTATGCACAACAGCCCTAAACCCTGCTC